GAGCATCATTTCATTGGTGCAAAGGTTGCAAATGTAAAAGCTACCAAGAATTAACAATAGGAAATGGGGATTGGATTGCACTTCCTAGGCATTGCATTCACTTTCTAAGGGAGAATATACAACGAATAAAGAGAGAATTTAAATCAAATAGCATTGTATAGATACTTTCGAGAGGTCTAATGTGACACCCCAAAAATCCACATTCAATCCATGGATTAATTGAGTAATTAATCCTATTTTATTTGAGGAATTAATTCCTAAAATCCGATTTTTAATACTCAAGGACTATAATTTGACTAGTCAACCTTTAAGTTGTGTTGTACATTGTGCTTTGAGGGGAGTTCCCTTGTTTCTTACACTTTCTAAGGGTTAGTAAGGGTATCCTTGTCTTTTCACCAAGAGTTAGTATTGTAACCTAACCTAGAAGACTTCTTCATTTCATTCCCTACAATTCTTAGAAATTAGTTCTACCTTCTCTCTAGAAAAGAAGTGTAGCTTATTCTTCAAGCCAAGTTGAGACCCTTGTCAAGATTCCAAGATTTGCTTCCAAGATTCAACCTTTCACCTATTTGGGCATCTAGGAGGGTAAGATCTAAGTTCATCTTGTGTTTTTGGTTCCATCTTAGTTGTCTTTTTCTTAAAGGTAGGATCTTATGATCTTTTGGTTTAATCTTGAAGTGGGTTTGGAAAGTAAGCCTTGTGGAGAGCTTGTTGTGGTGTAAAGTGAAGTCTTTTGGTCTTCAAGAGGTAACCCATGCTCTACAAAACCTATTTTGCTTACCTATATGTGATTTCTTGGATTCTACATGTGTTTTGCTATGAAATGTGAGGGTTTATGCATTTGTCTTGTGATATTGCATATCTAGAGCTTGTGTTTAGGGTTCCTTTGTGCCATTGCTTGGAATTTTCCATGGTTCAAGTCATTTTGTTGTGTTTGGTGAGATTTTCCATGTTTTGGACTTGAATTTGGGTTTGGAGAAGAAAATCCCCGAAGGGATTATTTTGCCCAGGAGTATGTACCCGCGGGCGGAACGGCGGGGAGAGCCCTACCCGCCACCCACCCGTAGGTACAGAGGCTTGTGGGTAGTGTACCCACGGGCAGAACCATGGGTAGGGGCCTACCCGTGGGTCCACCCGCGGGGAACACTGTGGTGTTCGTTCGGGATTTGTTCCCCGTGATTTGTTTGACTCGGTATTTGGTCTTTTGACTTCCCGATGTTCTTTTGTGGAACTATTTGAGTGTCTTCTTGATGTTTCGTACGTCTAGAACCATATGGTAGGTATCCATGTAGGACTTTGGAGTCTTGAATCGTGCTAAGTGTTCAACATTGTGTTTCGTTGGACCAAGAGGTGTCTTGTGTGTTCCTCGGAACTATCTTGAGTTTCCCCGTTGATAAGCATGCTAGTTTTTTGTCTAAATGCTAGCGTGTGTGTGGTTTGTACCTTCCGTTTGGTTGATGATAACTTGTGTTATCCATCGTTGTTGTTGTTGGGTTGTGACCCGTTCCTTGATTGAGTATGTTTCATACCTTCGTTGTGATCCGTTGTTTGACTCTTGTTGAGTTGTGGTGCATGTGTGGCTTTACCTGGATTGCACGATTAGTGGTATGGGACACTAGTCACCAAGGTATTGCAGCGGTCCTCGTGGTGGCCGTGACGTGATTATGGAGTTGTGGCCTGAGTGATGGGTCCACGTTTTTGGGGGATAACATGTGTTATCCGGGCATGTGTTGCCGTGATTGGTGGTTTTCGTTGGTGGTCGTTGGTGGGGGACGACGGTCCCGGGGGAATAAGGTTGGACTAAGAAGTACAGGGGTCCTGGAGGTAATGGTTGGAAAGAAGGTACAAGGTTGGGGGTAGCCATAAGGTTGGAACAGGGCATAAGGAAGGCATACCAACTCGTGATGGGTGATGTTGCAAGGGCTTGTAAAGCCGGCGTTGTGTGATCTTCTCTCGTGACGTGTGTAGTCACGGAGGCTTGTGTTGTTTTGGTATGTGTTGCCGTTGGGTGAGTCTTTATCCTTTGCGTGTGGTTAACCTTTGTGGTTTGGGATGTGTTCCCGTGTTATCCTTGTGAGTGATGAGTTTTGTGTTGACTGTTGATCTTGGTTTTGACTTATATATATGTATTCCATTTCGAAAATGGTTTTTATGTCTTATATCTATCTATGTATGATACTTAACGGTATTGGTGGGTTACCAGCATTATTCGCTGACCGGGCGTCGTCCCAATGTTTATCTTTGTATCTTTCAGGTGATGTTTAGACGAGCGCGATGTCTAGAGCCTGGTAGCTTAGCACCTTTACCCTTGTTTTTGTGGCTTGTGCGCCAATGTAGTTAGACTGATGTTTTGGGATAGATGTGTACACTTGCAGATTGTTTGCCGTAGCGTTTACCGTGTTTGGTAGACGTGGCGTGACACCCCGTTGGATTTCTTTTATCCAGTTTCGTTTTATCTTCCGCTGTGCTAGTTTTGTCATTTAATCTGCATGTGTTAAGGCTTTTATATAGGTCTTGTTTGGGGGGTGTTACATCTAATATTCTATGTCAAACATTGTTCAGTAATGAAAATGAGGGGGTTAAGTAAGCGCCAACGCCATTCTCATGGACATTGGGTTATCACTTGAGTTCTAGTCCCATTCTCATAGCAACTAGACTAAGTGAGGCAATTAATCAAACATACACCTTGTGTGTTCATTTCCTTCCAACTCCACTTTCTCAAGAGTAAGTTAGAAATGTGATAGGTTTTGTGGTGAGGTGAAGCACAAAATCCAATGACCTCTTGCTTAGTAGGACCCTAACAAAACAAGAGTCCATACAAATCTCCAATTTCACAATCAAATTCATATTAAGAACAATGTAAAACCTAGATTTGGAAATTCAATTCATCATGGCATCCATACAAAGAAATTCAATCTAAATTCCTAGATGTTTTTAACTATTCATAATTGAATTGACAACTACCAAGCAATTAGAGTAATACATATTGAATCCACAATACAAGAAATGTAAAAAGCAAGTAATAATAAATAGGGAACTTAACTTTATTGAACTTGGAAATGTAATTCTGAAATTGAAGTTGAAATTGTAATTACAAATGATAATCTTTCTCTAATTCTTCCCAAAGATAATGGAAACAATGGATTTTATGTTCTAAATGGTACGTGTGAAGAGAAAATGTAAAGGAAGACATGAAAATTGAAAGATAGAATAAAAATAACGCCTACAACTATTTATTCTGCAGAAATCCGCGCCAAATAACTGCCTTCAGATTGCCTAGTCAGGATGGAGGTCATTGTGTGAACTCCACCGTGACCAGGATTTCCTTGCAGATGAACAAGGGTCACGCTGGTGGTCACAGTGTGACCACCAACGTTACACCCAAAAACCCGCAAGGTGGCCTAGTAGGTCATGATGGAGGTCACACAGTGTCCTTCATCGTGACAAGTTAGGCCACTTTCAGATGGTGGGCTTTCACGCTAGTGGTCACGGTGTGACTTTCAACGTGACGCCTGACCATATGAAAGCTAGCTAGAGTGTCACACTGATGGTCACGACGTGACCTTCAGTGTGACAGCCTTCGACGACACCTTCGAACGCGATCTTCGCTCTGTTACTCCGTTGCTCCGTGCTATGCTTTTGACATTCTATTTTTGATCCATTTTGCCTCGGTATCACCCCGATATGTCCTCATTTTAAGTTCCCCTGCATGCCAAAGTCCAAATTTCCTTTCCTCAATCCATAAACACATAAAGAAAGCCTCATTTTAGTGCAATTACCTAGCATTCAGTCAACAATTTAGTACAAATGAAACACTCTTATGTGTTATTTCATGGCTAATGTATAGCCTTATGTAAGGCCACTCTTCTTCGCATTCGCAACAAACCGTGTCTCAACCTCGACACGAGGGAATTGCGAAGGTAATAACAACCAATCACTTGAGGGGAGCTAGAGATACAGATGATAGGAGTAATAAGGAAACACACCATTTAAGCAAGTGATAGCACATAATTTAGGATTGCATTGAGCCACACCATTCAAGGAAGTAATAGCACAATTGCATTCAGCTCCAACATTCAAGGGAATAATAACTGGAAATCCGAGATTAATATATTTTTTCTTTATTGTATTATTTTCTTCTGTAACAATTCCTATATATATGATAAGCTAATGAACTATCTTCTCACCTTGAAAATAGAATTACAATTCCCATCCCCAGAATTACAGTAGAGGTAAATTGCGAATTGTACAATTAACTCCCGATTCAAGAATAATTTTTATTCTTTATTGATGTGATAGGTTGGCACTTATTATTTCAAGGGTGGGGTCAGGTTCAATTTCCATCAAAGAAATGCAAGCTAGCAAACTTGAATCCTGATAATATGTGATTGGTATCGAACTTTGGATTCACATACTCAATTCACCATCCGTGCAATTTAGCTAATGAACTATCTTCTGACGTTGAAAATAGAATTACATTCACAAAATTATTCAAAGTTTCAGTTTTTCTTTAGCAACTAATCTAATTTAAAAATTTACCAACAGTTATAAATGCTTTAACAATAGAATTATTCGTTGGCATTTTACCGACGCAAATTATTTTGCATGCCGATGTTTTATTTTTGGGAGGATTATTTTTAACTACCTCAAGTTTTTGTCTCTGATCTAATCCATTGTTATTTTATATAGTGAAAGTTGTTTTAGCAACAAAACTTTTTCTAATAATTTTTATTTTTTCTTGTAGTTTATAGAATTATAGAGAGAGATACGAGAATGCAAAAATAAAGTAAAAATAAAAACATGCAACAGGAAAATACAGTAATATAAGGAGATCAGAATACAAATAGTGATAATATAACTAAAGGTCGTAGTCTAATTTCCTAATGTACTTCATCTAACCGCCAAGCATGGATTTATTGCATGTGATAAACATTATATTCCTGTCCGGTTACTTCTAAAAAAAAAAATATTCCTGTCCGGTTTTTCGATATTCCATCTCGTACAAACAAACAATAATATATAACATCATTTTCACCACATTAAGTCTTCCATGATGTTGGAAAACATGAACTTCACATGCTCTTCAAGGACAGGAAGGCGATGCTTGTCGTTGTAAGTGTACATCATTGGAACCAATCTCGCTGCATTTAGACAAGCTGTTCGGAAAGGTTTAGGAATAGGGGTTGGAGAGAGGCAATGCTTGTTTATTAGCTTCCACTGCTGGGAAACCATATCCATAACATGTTGTCTTCCATCACCTAATGACCAATCTTGTTGCTCTTTAATGTAGTACTCCATGTAAGATCCATCTTTTCCTTCTTGTTCCTCATCCTATGATTCAACAAAATGAAAATATTAATGAGGTATTTGGCAAATAGCTGTTAGCTGATAGTTGGTCGGGGATTGAGTTAGCTGATATAGCTGCGGATTAGGTTAATGGGTTTGACCAGCTTATTGCATTAGTTGGTTGTATAAAGGTATTTGGTAAATTAGTTAATTGATATATCGTATGTGTAACCAAAATTTATTCACCTTTGCAGTTCCTAGGTCATCTAGGAGGCGAAGAATTGCAGCTACTGAAGATATAATGCCCTCAATATCTGTGGTTCCAGTGGACTCACCATAGCCCAAGAGAAAGAAGAGATTGGTGAGGACCATGGGTACTCCTGAGCTTATAATCCCATTTTTTAAGTACTCCTCCGCCTTTGGTGAATCCCCAGAAGCAAACCATTTTGCTTCCGTTAGAAATGCATTGCACAAATTTGCCCACTGTCAACATGGTTATAATTTTTTAGAAAAGGATCCATAATGCAAGGTCAACTTAGTGCATGTATAACAATTGATGGATTATCGTGTACTATATCTTACCGCTTCTTTCAAATAGTCCATAGGACACCAACCAAACTCTTGGTAAACTACGTTGTTGATCTCATGTGTGGTGTCATGAATTACCTTGAGACACATTTTCATGTAACTTGGTAACTTATCGGTTGCGGAAAATTCCCATCTATTCTCCACATCGACAAAAAGAATGGAATATAAAAAGACAAAAGAGTTTGATTAAAAACATGGTTTCGTGAGGACAAGAAACTTGTTATGTGAGAAATGAAAACAAATAATAAAAAAACAAAAATATTGTATTACAAACCTATTGATTACTTCTGTGAAAAGAATAAGTTCATCCAGAGTACCATAAATATCAAAAATGTCATCCACCAAATAAACAAGGGAGATTGGCTTGGTTATCTCTATCCTCTGCTTAGACAAACATGGATCCGTGACCACAGCCATTGACCAAATGTACCATTTCAGTGGTTGATTCCTAGCTAGCTTCAACTCTTCGGATACACCAAGCCCTCTCCACCATCTTACATGCATGACAAAAGTATAAACACTAAATTATTAAAATGTATATAAATGACAAAAAAAAAAAAAAAATTAAAGAGTTATGATAAAGTATTCCACCCACTTGAAAACTTGAAGGATTTCTTCATGGTATATATATTGCATCAAGTTGAAATCCATTATTGCTAAATCAGCTAGGAGCTTCTCCCAATCTTTTTTGAGGTCGTGATTTTTAATGTAGTTCATTGTTGTGAACCGAGCCAAGCTTTTGTGACAGGGATAGTGCATAGCGTTTTGAACCATCAAGCTATGGCGATCATCAAGATGTGACAATTTCTCCGTGAGAAAATGGGTAGTAAATATAGACGCCTCATCTAGGATGTCTTCGTCTTCTATGGACAGATGTGAGGCTTCATGCAAAGCCATGAGTCCCCTTATGTTCTCCGATAATTCATCCTTAAACTTCATATTCTCACCTTTGAAGCTGTTGAACACATCTGTTACATTGTACAGAAGTTAATTAAATATTGAGTTGAGAAAAAATATAAATTGTTGGCCGCAGTTAATTAATTACCTGCAGGGACGTGGAAACCTTGTTGCCTTAACAATCGAAAACGAAGTGAAACTGCGTAAAGCTCATCTTCATTGGTATAAACAAGAGTTTGAGAATCTTGGAATTGTTGCTTCAGACTTTCATGGATTTGATCTTCAAAGTAGTGATCGATACCAAAGCGCTGCATGGTATCAATTAGCACCAGTCCTTTTAAACTGTCTTCTTTAACTTGATCAAACAAGTGACTCATCATTTCCAATTGTTTCTGCTGATATTCCACCTGCAAATAAATTAGTGAATCATAACATAATTTGGACCCACAATAGAATATATTTCTGCAATTTTCTTTTCCATTTTGTACTACATACCATATTTGATTCATGAAACCGTGCAATGGGATGCTGCAAAGTTTTGATATTCTGTAGGTAGTGATGAGGTGCCATGGGACTATGCAAGTGTGGGTGATTTGGATAGGTAAAATAAAAGTTGATGAGTTCGCTTAAGAATGTACTGAATTTATAGAAAAGTTAGGGTCTCCACCCACCTTAAAAGGTGGACTGTACTAATTGCATAATGTTTATTCAGTATACTAAAAATGAACATTTATCCATGGTTTACATTGCAATGTGAACATGGTCTAGAATAATTTGTTTGTGCCTGGAAACTAATAAGAGACCAATCTTGAGCTCTTGACAACCGGCCACAATTTTATGAGTACAACAACCATAGCATACACAAGCCAATTAAGTATAATTTCAATTTTTTAATTTAAACATAAATTAAAGTGCAAATTTTCCAAATGATTACTTTTGTTTTCTGAAAGATTAAAATCACCACTTTTTTTTTTTTGGTGGAGATAAGAAGCCAATTAAGTAAAATGACCACTTTTTAAACTAATTGGATTTCATCTTTAGATCAGAGCTACAGTAAAGATAAATTGCGAATTGTATAATTAACTCACACAAAAAAAAAAAAAATGTGATCCAATAATAATTTTTCTTCTTTATTGATGTGATAGGTTGGCACTTAATTATTATTTCAAGGGTGGGGTCAGGTTCAATTTCCATCAAACAAATGCAAGATAGCAGTACTTGAATAGTTGAATCCTGATAATATGTGATTGACTGATTGGTATCTAACTTTGGATTCACATACTCAGTTCACCCACCATCCGTGCATTAATGTGACCACACCATTCTCGTAAAATATCTTTTTTAGATCAGACCATTTTAGTACAAATGTCCCTCTTAAAAAAAATTGTTCCAAATATATTAATATTGGTTGTACTCTTGATCGAATGGATCAGAATCCCCACCACAAAATATATTGTGATTAATTTTCATCTTTAAATTATAAGGTGAACTAAAAGATCAAACTGAAAGGATGCAAATATAAGTACATTTCACCTTTCATTTGTTATGTTGTTGATGTTATCAAAGTTGTTTGATAATTACCAATTGAATTGTCATTAATCAAAAAGTTATAACTAGTAGCGATTACACAACTTTTTTTAATTTCTTTATACTTGTATATAATAGTAGGTGTCACGGTTCCATCACAAAATGCTAAACTCGGCTCCTAGAGCCACAACCTAACAATCCCCCCACCTCCCCCCCCCCTCCCCAGCATGACTCAGATACCAATTGTCATAATCAAACGCTTATCGCATTATGCCAAAAGTTATACTACCTCTGTCCCATTTTATCTTTTATATTTACTATTCATTGGTCAAACTAAGTCTTTATTTTTCGCTTAGTTTTCTATTAGCATTTTTTTTAAAAAAAATTTAATTTAATTTTTTGTGTTTAACTGTACTTTTAATGTAGTTTCTAGACTTAATATTTTGATTTTATATACTAATTTTAAACTTAATATTATGAAAAATTAAATTGTAAATAACTTCCGTCAAACGTCGTTAATTGAACCCAATACATAAAATGGACGGAGGGAGTAGCTATTAGTGAAGACACAACATTATTATTATTTTTTAATATTTTTGTAGCAGTTAGCGCGACGATCCAATGACAGAATGTTGAACTCTCAACTCCCCGAGTCACAACCCAACATAATTATTTAGAGTTGTTTGATAATTACTAATTGATTGTGTGAGTTATTTCGATCAACATTTAGTATTAGTTGTTTGAGTTTGATATAACAAAGGCATGACGACAAGTAGCAAAGGCATGACGACAAGCAGCCAACAAGTAGCATTAGTTGGCTGACGTGGATTGAAGAAATGTTAGTGAAGAATAAGGTTAGGAGTGTGTGCATAGATACGGATTTTGTCTTTGGGGGATGTACAATCAAGCTTCGCATTGCAATAATAATCCACTATTTATTGGGGTTATGATATTTCATCTATATATTTTAATCGAGCATTAAGATTCATCTTATGCCTAAATTCAGTTTCATCAACATAAAGTGCATTATTCGAGTTAATATCCAATTTAATCATCGACTATTGTGGTTTTTTTTCAATTTAGTTCTAAACAATTTTTTGTGCTTAATTAGGTTATTGGCTTCGATAATTTTACCCAATTGAGTCTTATGTATGTTAAGATAGCTTGGTAATTTTTCTTCTATTAATACCCAATTTAGTCCCCGACTATAGGAGTTTAACCCAAATTAATCTCTGACTATAGTGATTTTACCCAATTTAGTCATAGATGACTATAGTGATTTTTTTGATATAGTTCTTGATTCTAACAGTTGATGACTGAATTGGATAAAACAATCAAAGCCGGGGACCTAAATAAGCAAAAAATTCGTTTAGGACTAAATTGAGAAAAACCATTATGTTGAGGACTAAATTGGGTATTAACTCTAATTTTTCTAACTCATAAAATACATTATCTTACCCCATATATAATATTCATTATTCTAACAAGCGTGCAAAACAATGAATCTTTTAACATCAAAATCACGTTATTTTGGACCACAGTTCACAATCCATACAATAATTTGCCCTCTTTTTTTGTTTTTTTTTGTTTTTTTTTTTTTTGTTTTTTGTTTTTTGTTTTTTGTTTTTTGTTTTTTTAAATGATATGTCATTACCATATATGACTCATTTGTGATCGATGTACCGTGTACGTGTTGGCCATAAGTCCTTGAGTACTTGTGTTGAATTACAAATATGTCCAAATACGATTACCAACTTCATATTTGTCCCCTTCCTTCAAAGTATATTTGAGAAGTAGTGTCGGTTGTGTAAGGCATGCATGGATGTTCTTACTTTAGTAGTTGCTGAGTTATAATACAACTTGTGCCCCTAATTAGTATAGAGTTGAAATAGCATCCCTTGATTTGATAGATAGAGTTATTTGGACGGACGCTTACACAACAAAAATAAAGAAATATCAATTTTATATTTACAGATTGATTTTTTTTTTTAGACAAAAATTTAAACAACATTCAGTCATCCACCTACCAGTTCTTACTACACATTAGAGATGAATTTCGTGGATGATTTAAGTTATTTTGGATGGAGAATGAAGTATTTGTTGGGACTTAGAGTATGAATAATGTGAGATTATAGTTATTAATAGTTAAAAGAAATATTTACTGTATTCAAAATTTATTGATTTGTCATTAAAAGAGTAATATTGCAACTTAATATTAATTAGAAACGTGATTTGCACCTAGGCTAAAACTATAATTTTCTTCAGTTTGACTTGTTCACCCATTATGGATTGTGACATTGATATCTAATGAGGGACATTCTCTGTCCGAAAATAATTGAGAAATGCAAAACACGCGGGAACAGTGATTGATACAACACGGTCAACACCAGTCGTTATATTATAGACCGCGGTGCATGTGCACCGCGGTCAAAAACGACGCCGTTTCTTTAAGTAAAGAAACGGCCCGCCTTTAGAGTTAACGGAGTCTGTTTGTTTGGTGTATTAAACACCAACTGACACTATAGCATATCCAAACCGACACTGCAGTTATATCAAAATGATACTGTAGTTATAGTGAAATGAAACTGCAGTGTATATAAACTGAAACTGAATAACATTTCACATATTTGAGTGTATATTGTACAATGAAGCTGTAATTATATCAAAATGATCATGTAGTTGTGTTTTAATGAAACTATAGTGTATATAAAATAAAATTAAATAACATTTTCACATATTTGAGTCTATAAATATCGAATGAAACTATAGTTATATCGAAATGAAACTGTAGTTGTGTTCAACTGAAACTGCAGTGTATACAAAATGACACTGAATAATAGAGTTACTTTTTACAAAAGGGTGTGAAACGGCGGAAATAAACACTGTTAATTTTCATTTAAAAAAAAAGACGCGCGGTGCATAATATAATTTGCCGTCAACACCCATCACGTCATTGAGATAACATCACTTGACGAGTCAGGGGACTTTTTTTTTTTTTTTTTTTTTTTTCTGAGTATTACTGACCTTGTTACAATGTAGTATCTGTTCATAATTACTTTCTCAATCTACTGATACACAAAGAGTCTATATAAACCCCACTAAAAATCAAATCTATAACCTTCTATTTGGGAAGGTCACTTCGTTCCACTAGACTAAAACATGAGATATTTTTTAAGCAAGTGAAATTCCACCAACTAATTAGTAATGTTATTACTGCTTTCTTATATTCTTAGGTCCGTGGAATATTATGGATCGCACATTTAAAACATTTTGTATCTGACACAAATTCCACCAATTGACTAATTAATAAGTAATAATGCTATCTTAGGTTCTTATCTAAGATTTGTTCAGATTCTCTCTATCTTATTTTATAAGAAATAATTATACGTTAATAGGATAAATTATTGTGTGGATCATGAATATCAGGTACATTTTTAATATATTAAAAGTACATTATTTTTGTATTGAAGGTACATTATTTTTATATTAAAGGTACATTATATAAACTAATGTACCCTTAATATATTACAAATGTACTTTCAAAAAATGTACCTTACGTACATAAATAATGTACTCTTAGTATATTAAAATTGTATTTTTCTTTTATTTATGGTCTATACAATTGTGTGAACCATGGTCCATGCAATACTGATTGTGCTAATGAATATATATCCATGGATCACCCAACTAATTTTTACTCGCTTCATCACTAATTGTTACAAAAAATGAGAATTTTATATATGTTACGGAGTATATTTTATGTATTTAAATTAGTTTTTTAATAATCAAATATTTATTATAATATTATTGCTTCTCTCTCTCTCTCTGAAAATTTTCATATCAATTTAAAAAATTATTGTATAATATTATCCATATCTATTTTTTAAAAATGTATATTTTATTTGTATTAGATTTGTTTTGTATTAAAATATTATATTTAATATTTCTGATTAAACTTTTATTAATTTTATCATCTACTAAGTATTTAGACATTAGCAAAACACCTTGTACTCAGATGGCACCTTTGTGACTCTCCTTGAGGGAAGGTCACATGATCTAACCCCGGTGGTGGGGTATTGACTCTTAAAAAAG